CATCCAGGTGCTCCCTGCCTGGGACAGGCAGCCAGGAGCTGAGTGCCAAAAGCTGCTGGTAAAGGACGGTCAGACCCTAACCAGGGGGTTTGGAGGTGCTTCCCATGTGGAAGCAAGGCTGGCCGTTGTGCTGGGAGGAGGCAAGAAGCTGCAGGCTGCTCGTTCTCCTGCAGCAACGGGTGCGCGTTGTCCAGCAGTTCCTGGAGAGCTGCTGGAGCCAAGCGGGAGGGTTCCCCTGGTTATCTGGGGGCATGGAAGTTTTTATTATTGTTGGTTTCTAAAAGAGCCCTGATGTCTAACCTATCAGAAAGGTAAGAATTGGTGACTACTGCAGTAGTTTCTGTAGTGTCCTTTTAACAGTTTGCCCTGATGCTGCGCAAAAAGTTTTCAGCTTGGCAGAGCCCTTCCCACTCTCCGGCTCAGGAGTGGAGAACTGGGTCTTGCCCTGAGCTGTGTTAGCTCTCCTTTGGGGAAAATCAAGTCCCAGCAGCTCTCCCCTTCCCCCAGCCCAGAGAAACAGAGGCACGCTGCTTCCCCTCCCTCCAAAAAACCTGTGATGCCAGGGAGGATGGATCTGGGCCACTCCAGATCCCCTGTGCTCCTGCTACCTTGGCTTTTTGCGGCTTGTTACCAACAAAACGAGGAGGCAACCAGACACTTCCAGTCACAAATACATTTATTCTTCCATGTCTGTACAGCTGGGAGCTCAGTGCATGCGTGAGGCAGCAGTGTAGGGAGACATCTCCTCTCCTGCCAGGAGGATGAACCCACTGCCAGTGCTCTGTCATGAGCATGAGTGGATGCTTACCTGTTTCCAGGCTGGGAGTGCCAACTGCACTGGAGTTGGGGGAAAAGAAACCCACAAGGAGGAAAGAAAAAAAAAAAAGAAGGAACAGTTTTGATTTTTCACATCCAGACACGGTGGGAGAAGAACCCCCAGTTCTCGTCTCTTGGCCCTTGCCACACCTGTGGCTTTGAGGTGCAGTGCTGCTGTCTCCTTGCAGGCTGCCTGCTATCCCACAAGGGATCCATGCCAAGTCCCTGTGTGGCCCTGCCCCGCAGTGTCACAGCCACATCCCCCAAATAACAAGTCTTTCCCAAACAATGCCATTCTTCCCTGAGGTGGAGACACACAGTCCAGAGTGGGAGATTTCCAGGGTGAAGAGTGGAAACAGTGCTCTCACCTGAGCTCTGCTCCAGAGGATTCCTTGGCAAGGACAGGGATGGTCTGTGGTGGGTGAGGCGAGGACAACAAAACAGGCCACACACAACAGGCGTGCTCCAACATCCTTCCTCCCACTGGGAGCAGAGGAGCCAGCAGCAGCATCGAGTAAATAGGACGTGGTGAACGATAAGTACCTTCAGATGGCATAATCTCTGGGGTTCTGTTTCCTGAGGGTCTGCAGGACATCCTCGAGGAGGGATAGCCCCAAATCCACTTTGAAGGACAGGAAGGGATCAGCCAGGTCGGGAAGAGCGGTGCCGTTCTGGGAACCTGCCTCTGAGGTGCCGTGGTCTGTAGCCTGGTCCTTGTGCGTTGGAGTGCCTTTGTGGTACTGAGCAGTGTCAGAAAAGGAGATGTCGGAGTGGGAGTCAGTGTGGTCGATGATGTTGGGGCAGCTGGAACTGTCCAGGTACAGCCGGGGAGGCTTGGGAGGGGCTTGTGCCTTGGCCAGGTTCTGCTCGCTCTGGCATGACAGGTAATCAGACTTGTCCTTCAGATCCCTCAAGCCTTCCCTCTTCTGGCTGTCAGTGTCCAGAGTGTGGCTGTTCTGGTTCAGGATGATGACTTGGTTGCCCAGCTTTTTGTGCCTCCTGAGGGAGAAACGTCTGAAGAAGGTGGTGGACTTGATGGACCCTCTGCGCCAGGTATCCATGCTGAGGGAGGCAGTGAGGAGAAGGGACCTGCAGGCTCCGCACAGGCAGGTGCTGGACTAAAGCCACGGGATCAGCAGCAAGCCACGCAGCAGGAACACCCTCTTCCTGCCCCGTTCCCGTAGCTGGAAGGAAAACAGGGAGGCTGGTAGTGCAGGAAAGGCAGACTCCACACAGTGGTAAGGAGCAGTTGGCTTGTCTTGGATCTTAAAGAGTCTCCTCCTCGAGTGGAGAAGGAACACGGTGTCTGAGCTCGTTAAACGTGTGCTGATGAGGAACAGCAAGGCACAGTCACCATGAGAACAGATCTAATCTGGCATCTAGAACAGAAGGGCACCCGGGTGCCATGGTAACCAGCCACCTTCTGCGGAGGGGCACCGCCGGAAAATCCAGTGGGTGGTTGGGAAGGAGACGGTGACTCAGTCCCACTGGAGGAACCAAGGAAATACAGGCAAAGGGGGGTGTAAAAAGCGACAACGTGAAAGGCAAATGTTGGGGGAACCGACTGCAAAGGAGACTTACGCCGTGTCGGAGCAGCCCTGAGTCCGAGGGAGCAGGGGAGAAGCCGCTGGAGCACTCGGAGAACTGTGCCTGCCACACTCACCAGGATGAAGGAGCAAGTCCGGGGACAGCTCAGCCAGGAGTTTGGGAATTCAGCCAGGTTGGACCCAGAATGCTAAAAATCCCCAAAGCTGCTGCCGCCGCCGTCTCTTCATGTGCCGCCCGTTGCCTCTTCCCGGGTTGCAGCTCCTGCTCGGATGTGTTTGTTTTGAGCCAAGCCCTTGCTGAGTCAGCCACGTCAGGAACTGGGTTTTGCACGATTGGTAATTGCCAGGATTGCAGGAAGGAGGTGTGTGGAGCGGCAAAGCCTCAGCCCACGCTGCCTGAGGAGCAGGAGAGCTCCTTGGAGGCACCCGTGCTGCTGGCAGCTGCCAGCTTGGAGCCCACCTGGATCAGGCTCTTCTCCTCCCTCCTGCCACTCTGAGAGCTCCGTGTGTCAGCAGGGCTCCCAAGCCAGGCTGGGAGTAATCTCTTGTCTGTTTTAAATTTCAATCCCTGTGCAAGGTGGGGATTCAGGTTTGTGCGGGTGATTCATCTGCATGAGTCTCACACAGCCTCTTCCATCCAGCCCAGCAAATCCCTGGGGTTGGTGGACAGGACTGGGGAGGATCCTGGTTCTGCTGCTGAGGGCTGATACCCATTGGTGCTTTCTGAGACACTGGTGCTGCCAGTACCCAAAGGTCATTTCGCTCATCTGGCTCCTAAGACACCAATTAGACTCCTAATTTCCCACTCAACGTTCCTCCTCATCTGTTGTGGGGCTTCTGTTTTGTCCTCACAGCCAGAGGAACCACTTTGCTGGCACTTGATAACAAATTGCACTTGCCCCATTTTCATGCAGAGTCGTATTTAGCCATTCTATTGCCTTTGTATCCCTGCTGCTCCCTAAGATGTCCTTAAATACCCAGAGAAGCTGTGGCTGCCCCATCCCTGGAAGTGTCCAAGGACAGGTTGGATGGAGCTTGGAGCAACCTGGGTTAGTGGAAGGTGTCCCTCCTCATGGCAGGAGGTTGGAACCAGATGACCTTTAAAATCCCTTCCAAGCCAAACCATTCTGTGACTCTGATGCTCTGAAATCCCCAGTAAACCCAGTTCCTGGAAAAATGAACACAAGGGTTTTTTTTTTTCATTCACTTTCTATCAAGACGCTTTATTTCTGCTTGAACTGTCAAGGAACAAGATGGATGTTTCCAAGCCTTGCAGTGCTTTCATACATCCAAAATAGCACGGCCACCTACTAGTGTGGAATGGCTTTGGAAGCAGAGTTCCAAAGCACTGGAGCAGCTGTCATCAGCTGCCCACGTTCATTAGGCAGAGTCTGCAATCAGCTGTGTTCACGTGACAGTGGCTGCCACACACAGCAGGAAGGCTCCGGGAGCTTTGGAAAGCTATTCCATTCCCGTGTCAGGTTTGGGAACATACCTGGTAGTTTTCTTTCTACAGCCACTTAGAATTGTTCAGATTGGAGAAGACCTCTAAGATCATCAATTCCAACCATTCCAATCATACAATCAGGAATAGTTTGAGTTGGAAGGGACTTCATGGATCACCTGGTTCCATCCCCCTGCCATGGGCAGGGACACCCTCCACTGGCCCAGGTTGTCCAGCCTGGCCTTGGACACCTCCAGGGATCCACAGCTTTTCTGGGCAACCTGTGGCAGGGCCTCACCACCCCCAGTCAGTTGGGAGTTATCAGTTCCATGACTGATCCACATTTTTTTTATGGCATTAGCCTTTATAACGGGTGAAGTGTACACTGGACTTTGGGCCGCAGCGTTGCAGGTGCAGGGTGAGCTTGTCATCCAAAATAGTGCCCCATCCAGCCTCGTGGGGAGGAGGAAGCAGCTCTGGCAGCAAGAGGGGAATTCAGGAGTGCAGGCTCTGCGTGTGTCCTGCTTTCCCCATCAGCCACACTTAGGAAGCAGCTTGTTTTCTGTAGCCAGGCAGCTTTCACACCTCACCTGATCTCTGTGGGATCAAAACTGCTTCCTGCCCAGAATCCCCGTGTTGTGAGAGGGAATTTGGGGAGGGGGAAGCTGGATCTGCACTGTCCCTGATGAGTTGTGTGTGTTTCCTGCTCCCTGCCAGGCATCCGTGGTGTCGGAGCGGGACTACGAGAGCCTGGTGATGATGCGGATGCGCCAGGCAGCAGAGAGGCAGCAGCTCATCGAGCAGCTCCAGCGGGAAGACGAGGAAGAGTCTCACACTTAGCGTGACAGTATGGATTCTCCCCACCCCTCCACACCACCCCCCTGCCGAGCTCTTTCTTAATTTAAGTCAATAAACCTCCTTTTTTAAAGCTGGTGTGGGAATACAAATTCCCAGGGACTGCAGCCTTGATCCCTTTTCAGGTTTGGGGAAGGAAATGGCTTCAGTGTGCAGGTCAGTGTGTGTCCCTATCAGTGTTTGTGTCCAGAGCAGCTGCCCCGTCCCATGGGACAGGGTGTGAGAGGTGCCACTAGAACACCAAATCTTGGAGCTTTTAATCCCTGGAAGCTTTTTTGGGAGCAGTGCATCCAGAAGGATTTGGCTGCAGCTGCAAACAACTCACAGAAGGACATTGGTGTCTTTAGGGCAAAGCTTTATTGGGGTTACCCCTACAGCAGGATCCATACACTGCCCCAAACATTCCAGCAGTGCAGCTGCTGCTGTTGGGATTAGGGCCTGCCCCTGGAATGCTCACAACACCTTTCTGTGCTATTTTGGGAACGCTATATTAGGCTTGGATGGCACTCTGGGATCTGGAAGTCTGAAGATGCTGCTGACCACAATCCTGTGTGGGATGGAAATGGGCCTTGCTGCCAAGGGAAGGGATTCTCGGACCACCGGGTAGGTTTAGTGGTTCCCCCTCAGATTTCAGGGATGAGATGGGATGCTGTCCATGCCTGGTGTCCCCCTGTAACCTCCCTGGCCCAGGAGAAGGCACGGATGTCCCCAGGGCAGCCCGAGGGTAGGCAGACGGGTCTGTTACTGAGCTTCCTCTAAGGCATGCTAAATAGATGATTAAAATGTAAAAAGCTGGAATTTGCCAGACTGCCATCCTGCTGAAGGCAGAGCTGGAGCCATCTGTTCCCTCTGCCTGATTTTTGGGCATACTATCCTCCCCATGCTCTTGGGAAATGACAAAGATGGCAAAATCCCACTAGGTCCAGCTCTGCCTCTGCACCACTCCTCTCCCCGCCCGAGTGCTGGGAGTCTGGGACAGGAAGGAATGAAGGGGGAAAAATTCGCTGTCAGTCCTGTAAGATGATGTCCAGCGGGATCTTGTCCGGGTGGAAGGCAGGATTCTTCCTGGCTATTCCCTGTGGAGGCACCAGACCAGGGTCTGGCCCACGCCGGTCATGCTGATCACGCGATAGCCGAGCTGCTCCAGCTTGTCCAGGACCACACGCGGCGCGTCGTTCACGTAGTACTCACAGCTGCTCCCGGGAAAGAGGAGGAATAAAGTGAGCTGGGGGAGGAAGAGATGGGAATTTCCTTGTGGATGTGACCCTGCCTTACTCCTAACTCAGGTAAGCCCAGTGACTGCACCTGGCAGAGGTGAGAGTGATGAAGTGCCTTGGTTAACCCAAGGAAGAAGGACACAGCCCACAGTGCCAAACCAAGGGGAATCCTGTCCAGGAGGGAAGGATCAGGTTAAATGGGAATGTGGCTCACGGACTGGGTGTCCAGAGCCACATGCTGCTCAGAAATTGGGCTGAAACTGCAGCAGAGGGTTCATAGGGAAACAGAGGGGAACACAGTTTCAACACACCTGGGAATTCATGGAGAAGGAGGAGAATTTGGCCAAGCAGGCAGGAATGATTCAGGTTTTTCTAAGGAATGGAATCCCAATGTTCTGCCTATGTTGGACCATGTCTGTGAGCTGGGTAGGTTTGAGAGTCTGTGCTGAAATTTGGGTATTGGAACAAGGTGCTGCTTTCAGTCAGGTGGGAAACCTTTGGAAAGCTGTAAGTTGCCTGTCCTGCATGGAAGTGCCAGGTGAAGTGGAGGACAGGCTGCTCTGCCCCAGCAGTACCTGGGAGTCTGGGAACTGACACCAGGATCCTTGTCTGGCCCTGATTCCTCATTGGTTTATGCTGGTTCTGTGTTTGGAGCAGAAGCTGCTCCTTCCCTCCCCTAGATCCCAGAGCCTGTGGAATCTTGAAGGCTGGGACACTGCTCCCCAGTAAAGGGACCAGACACAAACTGGGCTGAATTGGGTGGGGACAGCAGAGCTGAGCTGGCCAGTAGAACCTTTGGCACTGGGTCTGCCAGCCTTTCCTTTGACACAGCTTCTGGGATGCAGCATTTATTGGAGCAGCTGGGATAAGTTCCAGGGCAGCTCAGCCCTGAGGTGACTCACGGTGTCTGATAATGACGGGTTGCAGGATCACTGGGGATCCAGTTTGGGCACCTTAAAAAAGACTCTCCTGATTTTCATGCTAATAATGATGGAAAAAAGGTCCAAAAGCCTTTCCAAAGCTGCTCCTGCTCTGGTTGCTGAGCCGTGCTGGAGCAAGGAGTGCTTTAAAGCATGAAACAACTCCCAAGATATGAGAGATTTTCCAGTTTCTCAAGATAGACTGTACTTGGCTGTAATTATAGATGTGGTGTAAAGATAATGTGTATTATTATAAGCGTCTTTGAAGTCCGTGCTTTCTCCAGGAGGGTTGCCACATATCCGTCAGATTCACAGTGGGAGGTGGTAAATATTATTCCCATTATTCAGAGGAAGGAGCAGAAGCAGGGATTTGTAGGAAGCTAAAAAAACGAACTGGCTGAGCTAAAATCAGGAGGAAAGAGTTCTCAGGGCTTTATCACAGCTCTATGTTGAGGATAACAAAGATTGCACAGTGTGGGTATCGGATACGCTGCTGTCTCCATGTGCATCCAGTCGGGATGGAGGGGCTGGGACACCTGCAAAGCCTTTTCATCCAGATAAACACTATCAGGGAAAAGAGAAGTCATCCCAAATTGGCACTGGTTTGGTGTGTGTGATTCCACCTGCTGTGCCTCCAGATGTGCCAAACCAGGAGAGCCCACACAGGGATGGAGCAGGAGCGGTGATTTTTAGGGCTGGAGCAGCCAACCTCCTGGGATCTCTGCCCAGCTCTCCTCGAGCTCCCCGAGGACAGGGTTTGGCTGTGCCCAGAGGAACAGGTACGCTGAATGTCAGCAGGTGCCTCAGCCCTCAGCTCCCAAATCCAACAGGGATTGCAGTTAAGACCAAAGGGTGCTGGCAGCGTGTAATTACCGGAGAGGCCGAGGATGTGCCCAGGCATCATCCCTCCGTGGGCCCACAACCACCTTGGCACACCCAGACTCCCCTTGTCCACAGCACCTGAGGGGCAGGGATCTGCCCCTTGGCGTGGCTGTCCCTGTGCTACATGTCCCTGTGCCCCCCCTGGCTGCCCCCAGGGCTCTGCCACAGGCCCAAAGGGCAGGGACCACGTGCCTGCTCCCCACACCCCGTGGAACTTAATGAGGGGCCGTTTGGCCATGCAGAGCTGCGGAACAGGATCTGTGCGCTCCCTGATTACAGGGATTTAAGTGCTTCACCTGTCCATCCCAGTTTCCCAGCAAGTTCGTGCTGCTCAAGCCTTTCTTTCAGGCTCCCTCCAAGGTCATGGTTAAGGTTTTGGGGCCCACGGTGCTACAGGAAGGGGGAGGTTTGCAGCGTCTGCATCTGCTCAGGGAGGAGATGGGGAAAATCCTGCTTGGCCATGGTGCAGATCCCGGAGCTCTCAGCCCTGGCTGGGACTCTGGTGGAGGTGGCTGGGCTTGCCCCGCTGGCACATGGCCAAGCTCTGGGGTGCCAGCAGCCACGTTCCAGCCTGGGGACTTCCCCAATTCCCTGTTGCTCAAGAGCACGCGGGAACGACGTGCAGTGCCGTGGGGATGCGCCATAGGGATGTGCCACGGGCATGTGCCACAGGGATGTGCCATAGGGATGTGCTGCAAGGATGTGCCACAGGGATGTGCCATAGGGATGTGCCACGGGCATGTGCCACAGGGATGTGCCACAGGGATGTGCCACGGGGATGTGTTGCAGAGATGTGCCATAGGGATGTGCCATAGGGGATGTGCCAGGGGGATGTACTGTGGGGGTGTGCCGCTGGGATGTGCCACGGGGATGTAGCAGAGCTCCCAGCTATGACACCAGGCCGTGCCAAGGAGCAAATGAGGCAAGAGGAGCTCAAAATGCTCCAGGCCACAGCAAGGGAGGAAAGGTGGTGAATCCACCAGGGAGATCCCATAGGAAGCCTCAGATCCTTTCTCCCAAACAAGCAGAACGCAGCACTCCTGTTCCTTACAGCGCTGCAGCTCCCCCAGCTGCAGGGGCAGGTGCCACAGAGGCACTTACCTGTTGTTGCCTTCCTTTCCACCCAAATCCCAGGGGCCCTTGCCTAAATCTCTTGTGATCCAGCAGCACAGCAGACGTGTCTCCTGTCTCGTTGCATAACTTGGGGCTCAGCAGGTGGCAGCACGAAGCCAGTGCTGCTGCCAATCTCTGCCCACCCACAGTCTTGGGAATAGCAGCACGGAGATGGATCAGCCCAGCAAAACCCCCCAGGAAATCGGTTGGGATAAGGGGACCCCCAGTATTTATATTTTATCTCCTTATTCTGTAAAATCTCCCACCCCATTTAGATTTTAATGCTGCAGCAGCCAAGGATCCAGCCCTCGGTGTTTGCCAGGCTGGTGCTGAGTAGTTGGGTTTTCCCAGCTCCTTGGATGGAAGTTTAGGAATATGCTGAGACAAGAGACACCTTCTGTAAATACTTGGTCCTTCTCCTCTGTGCTGTGGAACATGAACAGGAATTGAGCTGCTCGTCTCTGTCAAGATCGTTTGAATTTAGGTGTTTGTTTTGCTTTGTTGTTTTTTTGTTGAGTTTTTTTTCTGGATAAAACCAAGAAGTGGAATATCAAGTGGGCAAGAAAAGTGGAATATCAAGTGGGCCAAGCCACAAGGAAGATGCTGGTCATGTCTCCACATGGCACTTTGATGAAATCTGAGGTCTAACTCGGCCTGGGCAGAGATGGGACATGGAGAAGTGTCAAATATCCACGGCTTGGGAACACGCAGGTGAAGGAGGGGGAGTCGGGGGGGACACCATGGGAAGCAGCTCTGACCCCAGGACTCACAGCAGCCCATGGGAAAGGTTTGGGAGCTGTTGAGAGGGGCTGGCTCCGCAGAAACCTCGAGCTGCACCGGAGAGCAGGATGGGACAGGACAGATTGTGGCTGAGCTGGAGGGGATAGGATGGGATGGGACAGACAGTCTGAAGATAAGCAGGACAGGACAAACTGTGGATGAGCATTCCAGGCGGCTCAGCACCACAGGCAGAGCGAGGCTGTGACAGCAGCATTGGCTCCTGAGAGTCTCCAGGCTGGAGATCTGAGTTCAGGATGAGGGGTGGGATGTTGGCAGATGGAGCCACGGGTGTCTTGTTGCAGCTGGGGCGCATGTCAGGTAACAGCCAGGAGCACCCTGGCGTGTCAGGGGTAAGGAGAGAGGGAAAGGTGGGTCAGGTGCTAAAACAGGGGCAGAGCAAGGAAAAACTAAAGAACTAAGTGAAGTATCAGGCAGCATTTCCTCGGGTGAGCATCGGCAGGCAGGACAAGACATGTCCCAGGATTAACTGTACAGCTGGAAGGTGCTGTGAGAAATGCCAGGAGTGAAAATGCTCCACATTTTCTCAGGAAAAAAAGAAGAGGAGGACTTACAAGTTGTTCCCCAGCATGTTCCTCTTCCTGGCCCCCAGGAGGTCCATCAGGTTGGGATCTGAGTGCTCGTCGCCCACCATGGTGGGACCAGCCTCCTGCGGGAGAGGCAGTGGAGCGGTGAGTCACGTGTGGGGGTACAGCTCCTGCTCCCAGCACAGCGCCAGTAAGAGCTTTACTGGGAAGGGAATTGCCATCAGCCACCTGTCTGGACCAGGAGGGGACCTCAGTGACCCCTGCCCTGGCCACTGCCAGGAAAACAGTCACTCCCCCCTGCAAGGCCAGGACGGGCCATTTCCAGCAAGTTCCAGGCTGGAAATGTTTGCTTTGCCCTGGCAAAGAGTAGAGTTTCCAAAGTCTCCAGAGGGCAGACTGAGCTCCACTAAAACAAGCTGTGTGCTGTTCCCTACAGGAACAGGACTGTAGGGAACAGCACATGTGCCCCTTCCTGTACTTCATCCATAATCACTCAACCAGCTTGTCACTGCTGGCAGACGCTTCGGTGCAGCAGCGTCCCCACATGTGCCCGTTCCCAATCCACTGCTGCTTCCTTTGGGATATGTAATGGGACATCTCCAGCAGCAGCAGCAGCAGCGTCCATCACCCAACTCCCTCCCTTTGCTCATTTGCTGTTTTCACCACCCCCCCTCCCTGCCCCAAACCACACAAGCATATTTGGGCTGTCGGGCGGATGGCTCCCCTTTGGCTTGGGAAAGGGAAACCCCAGATAAACACAGGGCTGTGGGCTCCCACAGAACCCTGCAGGACGTGCTGGCTGCCAGGAGCTGGGGAGCAGCTGCCCTGTGGGATGTGTGTGCTGCCAGCACTGGGGAGTTCCATTTCTTTGTGGTTTTATCTGAGACTAACAGGTTGTGCCCAGCCAGCGATCCCTGACAGTGAACCCAACCACTGCCTGGCTCCTGCCAGCCCCTGCTGCCAGCCATGTCCACTCCCTGGCTGAGTTTTCCACCCCGGAACGGCTGTTTGGGGACAAGAGGGAAAACGATGGTGAGGATGCACGGGCAGAGCTGTCCCTTTGGCGTTCGCGGGATCCTGCCACAAGTTTCCCGAGTGAGTAGCTGCTTGGCAGAGGAGAATTTTAGGGGAGCAGAGCCGTGGTGTGGGCTCTCCACTCCCCGACTCCCGGGGTTTGGGCACCGGGGGCTCTCACGGAGTGGGGGGACGGTCTGTGCCGGACACCCCACGCTGGGCACCGTCCCCCAAACCTGCATCACCCCCAACAACCCCCTCAGCAGCAGCGAGGACAGCCCAACCCAGCCCGGCACCGCAGCCGGGCACCGGTGACGGCCGCTCGTCCCGGTCGGTCCCTGCCCGCCCCCCGAAATTCCCCACCCCCGGGGGTCCCGCCGGGACTCACCAGGCGGATTTGGGTGCTGATGAGCAGGTACGGCATCTCCGCTCCGCCGCTCCCGCCGCCGCTCCGGGGCCGCCCCCGGTCCCGCCCCGGCGCCACCGCCCCCGGGGCAGCGCGGGGGGAAAAAGGGGCTCCCGGAGGGGTCAGAGGGGCCCCGCCGGGAATGGAGAGCGGGAGACCCCTGGGGGACTCCGACGGATCTCTCGACAAGGGAAGGGCAGGGAGAGGGTGGGCAGGAGGTGATGGGACAAGGAGATGGAGCAGGAAGAGTGGGACAGGGAGGTGATGGACCGGGAGGTGATGAGTAGAGAGACAAAGGACAGGCGATGGTGAGCAGGGAAACGATGGTCCAGGAGATGACAGCCAGGGAGGTGGGGGACAGAAGATGGGCAGGGAGGCGATGAACAAAGAGATGATGGACAAGGAGATGATGGATAGGGAGAAGAACCAGGAAATTAATAGCAGGGAGATAAAGGACCAGGAAATTACAGCAGGGAGATGAGGACTGGGAGATGATGAAGCAGGAGCCAGGCAGGTGGGAAGCCCTGGGTCCTGCAGATTATCCCAGCACCCACCCCACTCTCCAACCAAACATTCCCCTGAAGCAGCATGGTCCAATATTTTTGGGGAAAACTCCATTTTTCTACAAGCTGTCAAGCTTTTATCAGGGAACACAGGGGTTTAAATTACTTCACAATTTGAGGAGAAGCTCATTTGCTAGGACTAGGACAGGCAGAGGCACTTCCTCTACAGCTGCTGAGTAATTCCCGCCCCTCAACACCCACCCTTCCAGTTGGAAAACCGTACATAAACCAAATAATACTTCCATAAATAGCAAATAATAGTTCCCTGGCCTTCAGACTTGAGCAGAACCCTCTCCATTCATCTCCTCAGATTACCAAACCACAGTCAATTCCTAATTTTGCTGATAATCCTCACCCCACTGGTTAAACATCAGCTCATTTCGATCATCCCCAGCTTCTGGAACAGTGGGAATGTTTGCTCATGGCTCTCCTGTCCCAGCACAAACCCATTGTCCAATGAACCAACAGCACCACCACTCTGGCACCTTTCAACTGGTTAGATTTGGACAGGATTCCCACAATCCATGTGCCCTTTGGATCTCCACCAGGTATGTGTATTCTGTGGTTACCAGCCTGCTGGCTGCAGGGAATAACACGGGTATGAAATCCAGACCCTTCCAGAAATTAAAGGAAACCTAGCCGGGGTTCTGGCAGCCTGCCCAGCTCTGGCTCTGGCTCTTGCACGGCTCTTTCTTGGAGGAAAAAAAAAATGTGAGGAAAAAAGAGGGAAATGAGAGCAGAGCTGCACATGACATTTTAATATTGAATTTCCTCAGGAGATATGGAAATCTGGGAGGCAGCTGGAGCATGATGGATCTCAGTGGTACCATCCATCATCCTAGAGCAGCTTATCACGCTCCAGCCCCGGCTCCGAGCTGGCTGCTCCCACCTCTGCTTGGACATGAAGGAGATGAGCCCAGCTCAGAATCACTCCCAGGAATTCAGGTAAAGGGAAGAAAAGGGTTCTTTGGCTCTGCTGTCACCCATGCTCCCAGGAGCAGGGAGCACACAAAGGGCTTGATTTTCCTGTTCCTGACTGGCACCTTTTCCTAAAGAATCCTTTGGATCTTCCAGAAAAAGGCATTTCTAGCTTTAATGGTCCTAGGATAAACAAGTTCTTCTTGGGGGATCCTGCCAGGAATGTAAGTGCCCTCTGTGTTCACAGTGTTTTCTGTAGAAGGGAGAAATTCCAGCCCTAAAGGCTTGGGATGATTGTTTGGCCATTCCTGCGTCCTTCGCCTAATTCCACCTAAAATCCCTTCTCTCATCCCAAGAACTGGTCGCTCTCTGCACAACTCCCTCACTACAATAACCCTGTCCCACTTGGCTCCATTGCGTGTTCCCAAATTCCCATTTTCTGGCCCATTTGTCCCTTACTGCTGGAAGCTGAACACCCAGTCCAGTGGTATTTCACTCCACATACCCCCAGTGTACTCCACTGCTCTGAGAGTGTTAAAGGGTCTCTCTGGAAATTATTTACTTGGGAAAGAACTTGGTACAGGTACAGGTGTGGTTGGAACTGCAGGTGTGGTGTAATTGTAGATCCATGTGCAGGCGCAAGTGTAACTGTAGGTTCATGTACAGGTGTAACTAGGTACATGTACAGGTGTAAGTATAGGTTCATGTGCAGGTACAGCTGTGACTTTAGGTTGATATACATATATTGATGTAAGTTTAGGATCAAGTACAGGTGTGACTTAGGTCCATGTACATGTGTGACTTTAGACTCATGTACAGGTGTGACTTTAGGTCCATGTACAGGTGTAACTTTGGGCTCATGTACATGTACAGGTGTGACTTTAGGTCCAGGTCCAGGTGTAACTGTGGGTACAGGAGCATGTGCAGGCACAGACATAGGTCCAGGTGTAACTGCAGGTCCAGGTGTAACTGTGGGTACAGGTACATGTACAGGTACAGATATAGGTCCAGGTGTAACTGCAGGTCCGTGTCTAGGTCCCGGTCCCGGTCCCGGTGCGAGCTCCGCTCCCTGTCCCGGTCCCGATCCGTGTCCAGGTCCTGGTGCGAGCGCCGCTCCCTGTCCCGGTCCCGGTCCGTGTCCTGGTTCCGCTGTGAGCGCCGCTCCCTGTCCCGGTCCCTGTCCCGGTCCCTGTCCCGGTGCGAGCGCCGCTCCCTGCCCACGTGCAGCTCCACGTGCCGGCCGTGGGCGTGTCCCCCGCGCCGCCCGTGCCGTGCGCGGCCCCGCCGCTGACGCTCCGCGCTCTCATTGGGCCGCTGGGGCCGCGCCCGGTGACGCGCCCGGTGCGCGCGGCCCGCGCCCGGTGCCCGGAGCCGCCATGGCCGTGCCGGTGGCCGTGGCCGTGGCGGTCCCCGCCCGGGCCGGGCCCCGCCTGGCCCTGGCGCTGGGGCTGGGGGCGGGCGCCGGCCTCGGCCTCGGGCTGCTCTGGGCCCTGCGCCGCCGCTGGAGGGAGGCGGCCGCGCCGCACGGCCGCGGTACGCGCGGGACAGCGGGCACGGAGCGGGCCGGGCACGGAGCGGACGGGGCTGGAGGGGGGCTGAGGTGGAGGGGATGGGGCTGGGATGGAAGGGGTGGGGTTGGGAGAGAGGGGATGGGGGGAAATGAGATCGGAATGGGGGTATGGGGCTGGCACAGAAAGAGTGGGGTTGGGATAGGGGAAATGGGGGACGTGGGTTTGGACTGGGGGAAGTGGGGCTGTGCTGGTGGGAATGAGGCTGGAATAGAGAAAAGGGCGTTGGAATAGGGGGAAACGTAGGGGCAGTGGAGCTGGAATAGAAGAAATGGTGGGGAAATGCAGTGGGGATGTTGATGCCCACTGAACCCTGAACTTGCCGGGTTTTATCCACATCTGTGCAAAACTTCAGGAATGGAAAGTGAAACTGTGTTTTTTCACAGTGATCATAGACTCATGGAATCCTGGAATGGTTTGGGTTGGAAGGATTCTTAAAGCTCATCCAGTCCCACCCCTTGCCATGGACAGGGACACCTCCCTCTAGCCCAGGTTGCTCCAAGCCCCGTCCAACCCGGCCTTGGACACTTCCAAGGATGGGGCAGCCACAGCATCTCTGGTGCAACCTGTGCCAGGGCCTTAGGTTGGAGGGCAACCTGTGCCAGGGCCAGGTGCCCCTTTAGGCACTGGAAGGGGCTCTCAGGTCTCCCTGGAGCTTCTCTTCTCCAGGCTGAACAATCCCAGTTCTCCCAGCCTTTCCTCACAGGAGAGGTGCTCCATCCCTCTGATCATCTTGGTGGCCCTATCAAGATCAAGCCTCCTGTCCCTGGCCCTCAGCACAGCAGTCAGATTTCCCACGTGGAATCCTTTCCCATTGGCATCTAAAGAATTTGTTCTGTTCTTCTCCAGCCCAAGCCTTGCCCAGAGTGCTGGTCCCTGTGGAGGAGGGGGCTGGAGCCACGCACACACCTCTGCTGGGGCAGGACCAGCAGCTGGAGCTGCTGGAGCGCCTGGACTTCGTGGTGAGGAACATCTTGGAGCTGAGGAAGGAGGTGGAGGAACTGCGGAACAGCCTCCAGAACCTGGCTGTGGAGATTGTGGGGGAAGTCAGGTACCAGCCCTGCCCCTCCTGCCTGCTGCCCTTTCACAGCACAGCATCCATAGAATCCACAGTCATGGAATGCCTTGGGTTGGAAGGAACCTTAAAGCCCATCCAGTGCCATCCCCTGCCATGGGCAGGGACACCTTCCACTATCCCAGGTTGCTCCAAGCCCCATCCAACCCGATCTTGGACACTTCCAGGGGTGAGGCAGGCACAGCTTCTCTGGGCAACCTGTGCCAGGGTCTGTCCACCCTCACAGGGAGGAATTCCTTCCCGATATCCAATCTCAATTTCCCCTCTTTCAGTCTGATCCCATTACTCCTTGTCCTACCACTCCGGTTCCCGATGAAGAGACCTGATGAATATTCATATATAGATTATACATGGATTATACATGGATTGGACGTGGACCAAGACTTGCTTTACCTGGAAAATACAACCTGCCTGGGCATGGGATGTTTGTATAAGCCACAGGAAAGCACCCTGTGAATTCTTTGGATGTAAAGGGGATTGGATGGAGTCTGCTGGAGAGGAGAAAGAAAGGGAAATAGCAGCTATTTCAGTACCTAATCTTCATTTCTTTTTCCTTTTCCCTTTCTCACAGGTCTCACCTGGAAGAAACGCAGAGACTGAATCGCCGGAGGAGGTTCCCTTATCCCAGAGAGAGAAGTGACTCCACAGGCTCCAGCTCCATTTATTTCACAGCCAGCTCAGGGAATGCCAACACGGATGATGGAGAGAGTGAAGGGGGGTAAGCAGAACACCAGGCCAGGAGCAGCTTTTAGGGGCTTTTGTGCCACATTTGAGCAGTTTATCACAGAAATTAAGGGATTTTTTTCCCCACTGGGTGTCTGTCAGCCTGTTTTAATTTGCTTTTATTGCAGTAAATGTGTTACTGCCAGGGCCAGACTGAGAGATCTGCAACACTTCTGACTTTTAAAGAAAGAAAAAAATCATATATATATATAGAGAGAGGGAGGTTATTTTTAAACAGAATAATTTGGTTAAGGAACCTTATAAAAAAAAGGGAAGCAAAAGTCCAGCCTGGGACCGAAGTGAGAATGTTTAGAAATATAATTTCAAGACAATAATGTATTTTTAAGTGTCTGAAAAACTTGAGAAATTTCAGAATGAATTAACTGAATGTCTTCTATTAACTGGATGTCTTCAACTAGTGTATTACCTAGAGTTTTTTTTCTCAGTGTGAGATCAATTGTTTTAAGTTCTTAGAGTTTAAAATCAGGTGAAGGTTGTAAACTCACAGAATCAGGGAATATCCTGAGGTGGAAGGGACCTGGTAGGATCACCAAAGTCCAACTCCTAGCCCTGCATGGGACAGGGAAGTACTGAGTAGTTTAAGAACATCATTAAAAATAACAATATGGCTTTAGGTATATTCATATTAGACAAGTAACAAGAGTTCTCCTGCATACCTGGCTGTGACTGCTGATTTTCTGAGGAAATGCTGCTCCTTTGTGCCTCAGTCAGGCCAGTTTTGTAGCATTTGAGGTATGGAAGTGTGTCCCAAAAACACGTAAATTTTCCCAGGGCAGTTGAAATGTAGTTCAAAGAGAGATTTTATGGCAGTGGGAATGTTTCAGGGGGAATATGGGCACGATGGGGAGCAGCCAAATGACCTGTGGGCTGGTGCTGGCACTTGGCAGCAGGGATTTGTCTTCCCAGGACAGAAAACATGGATCTGCAGGAGGGCAATTTGTGACTGCCCTAAAATCGTGTCATGTCAGTGTTTCTCGCAACTGGAGCTGGTGAGGCAGGAGAAAGCTGGTGTGATGTCACTGGGGTTGTAGGGCCTCATTCATCTGGAGTGGGTGTTGGAATGAGAGGGGAATGAGGGAGGGAGTGATCCATGGTGGTGTAACAGGGAATGAGGGTGCAGAACAGATGTTAAAATACAGAGTTGGTTCTGAAGATGAGACTTTGCTATTTGGGTAACAGCAGATGCTCTGAATCAATCAGGGTGACGGTGGCTTTTGTCAAATGGATGGAAAAGGTGGGTTTTGTCCATCTTGATCCCAGCCTGGGGTGTCCCCTGCTCATAGAAAACCGTAAGTTGTGACAGAGGCCCAAGGAATGCAGAGGTTCAGAAAAGGCATCTCCTTAGGGGAACAGGGGTGTGTTTTACTGCAAAGCCTCATTCATTTATTGGGAGTCCAGGGATGGTTGGAGGAGTTCTTACATTGTAATTAAAAATCTGTAATTAGAACTCCTATCTAAATTTAAAAAAATAAAATAAAAAAAAATGGAATAATATAATTTCTCCCTGTGGAGGACCACAGGGATAATGTCAGTCTGGTCAGGACCAGCTTCGGGCTGTTTCATTTCCCTGTGTGGCTTTGGTTTTTGGGCTTCTTTGCCTCTTCTTTCCATGGGCTTTTTTTGTTCCAGAGTCTCTTTTCCTTCAGGATGTGCTCTAGCCAGAGGTCATCCTAAAGTATTCCAGTTCCATCACTGTAAATTCAGGAAAACGGGCTGATGACATCTCAGTCCCTTAATCTTCCTGAAAGCTTTGAGCTTGTCCTGTTCCTTCTTTTTGAACTGCTGCAACTGGGGGAAAATGTGGGGGTTTCTTGAGCTGAAGGACTGAAATCTTGGCAGCTGCCAGGAAAATGCTGGGGGTGTTAGGATGGGGACATTTGGGAATTTGAGGAGTTTGTGTCGAGCTACTGAAAATGGAGTAGTCCAGAGAACTAATAATGCCTTAATATTGATATCTTGTTAATTAATCTTAAGAAATGTAAAGAAATGAAACTTTTCATGTGAAAACAGAGCTCAGCCAGTGTCACCTACCCCTGTGTTGCTGCATTATCCATGAAATGGCGGGGTTTAAATTCCTGGAGGAGGTTTTGGAGGCTGTGCTGGTTTACCCTCTGCCAGAGAGGGAAATGCTTGAAGATTATGGATGGTTCTCAGAAAAGTGAAGCTTTGATAGCCAGATGTGTCTTGTTATCAAGGTGTGGGCGAAGTGCTGTCACTGCCTCCTTCAGATACAGGCTGTGGGCGCATATCTGTGTCCCCAGACAAAGGCAGGATCACAGGACTGTTGCTTGGAAAGCGGGATCCAGCCAGGACACAGCGCTGGAGGTACCCAGTACCCCCAGACTGCAGTGAGTTTAATGCTGCAGTTGTCTTGTTATTCAACTCAGTCAACAAAATCCACATACTGAAGTGCACATTTTGAAATTCCTGCCTGATTTGTGCCTGTTCTGCAGCTAGGAGCTTGCAGGTCAGCCTGAGGGGGACAAATAATCTTATTTTAAAAGGAATTGGCTTTGTGAGTAGATACCCCCTCTGCAGTGGTACCACTGTATAATGCTGGTTTAAATTTTAAATTCCCACCTTTGGTGCTGGGGGAGCTTAATTTTAGCCATTTTCAGAAACTTGGACCTAAGCTGTACCGAATCAAGGAGGTTGGAAGAGACCTCCAAGGTCATGGAGTCCAACCATCACTGTGGCACCACCAAAACCCTCCCTAAACCACATCCTGCTCCTTTGGACTGTGAATCATTCCCCGGGTTTTTCAACATGTGGTGTCTCCTTGTGGCTCATCCTCTTGCTCCTTGCTGGATTTCTTGCTGCTGGAAAAGAGTCTTGGTGGCTTTCCTGCTGTCCTTCACCTTTTTCCCCTGGCAGTGGGAACGAGCTGTGTAGCATTTAGTGACCAGGATGCTGGAGGGATGAGGTGTTGCCAGGAGAGCTATTGTGCCTAAAATTCCCTGGAACAGGCTAAATCCCTCAGGTTATACTTTGCAGGTGGATTGATGAAGTTCTTTATAATCCATATATTTAACTGAATAATCCTGCCTCTGTTTTTAGCTGTTTAATTCTGTTATGCTGCAGTTAGAAGGGCTAAGAGGAGCTGGCAGGGTGTGCAGGTGAGGAGGGGACACTTGAAATCTTAGAATGGTTTGGGTTGGAAGGGACCTTAAAGCTCATCCATTTCCAGCCCCCTGCCATAGGCAGGACCACCTTCCCCTAGACCAAGTTGCTCAAACCCACTTGTGACTTAACTTCCAAGGGACCTTCATCCTTCAGCATCCTGTACTTTCTTTCAGTGTTTTTGAGATATTACATGGGAAATAATGGTTGTTCCAAGAAATCCAGGATTGAGGCACCTGTGTTGTGCAGGATAAGCTGAGGTGCTCCTCTTCCTCTGTTAGGAATTGCTCCTACAACTGATTTTGTGTTGTTTTTTTTTTTCCCCTCCCAAAGTTACACCACGGCCAACGCCGAGTCCGACTATGACCGGGAGTCGGAGAGGGAGAGCGAGGAAGGGGAGGACGAAGTGAGCTGTGACACAGTGCGGACGGTGCGCCGGGATTCCCTGGACCTGGTCCCTGAGGATGAAGCCCCTCTGAGCCTGGATTCGTCCGTGGAGGAGGGGCTGGGGCAGCTCCTGCAGCAGGCCGACCGCCTGCACGGTGGGGATGAGCAGGACAGGAGAGAGGGCTTCCAGCTGCTCCTCAACAACAAGCTGGCGGTAAAGGTGCCTTGTTGTGTTTTCCAGCAGTGATTCCCCGTGCTGGGGGAGGGTCAGGTTGGACATCAGGAAGAATTTGTTCGCTGAGAGTCCAGCCTGTGACTGATCCCCACCTTGGCCCCCAGCCCAGAGCACCGAGTGCCACGGCCAGGCCTTCCCTGGACATCTCCAGGGTGGGGACTCCACCACCTCCCTGGGCAGCCCCTGCCAATGTTTAACCACCCTTTCCGTGAAGAATTTCCTCCTGGTGTCCAGCCTGCCCCTTCCCTGGCACAGCTTGAGGCTGTTCCTTCTCCTCCTGTCCCTTGTTCCCTGGAAGCAGATCCCAACCCCTCCCTTGGTTCCCCCTCCTGTCAGGGAGTTGCAGAGCCAGAAGGTCCCCCCTGAGCCTCCTTTTCTCCAGGCTGAACCCTCTCAGCCCCTCCTGCTGCTCCAACCCCTTCCCAGCTGCATTCCCTTCTCTGGACTCACTCCAGCCCCTTGATACCCTTTGTGCCATGAGCTGGACACAGGATTTGCGGTGCCCCCGCAGTGCCCAGCACGGGGGGACAGTCCCTGCCCTGTCCCGTGCCCACACTTCGTTATAAACTCACCCCTCCCAATTCTCTCTGCTGTGGTTCTGCTTCAGCTCTTGCAGAGTTGGGGCATTTTAAGGTTTAAAAAAAAAGTTTAAAAAAGAAAAACCCCTAACGTGTGGCCCTACTCAGTGTTAGTTTGTAATTCCCTTTGTCCGTGGCGGGGGGGGGCCCTCGATCCACAACATTCCCGTTTTTGTGCAGTACGCAGGGCAGCGGGAATTCCTGTGGCGCCTGGCCCGGGCTCACAGCGACATGTGGGAGCTCACGGAGGACGAGGAGGAGAAGCAATCCTACGCATCCGAGGGTAAGGAATTCCGTGCCGAGGCAAAGCAAACCCCAACCTTGAGCTTTAGGAACCCTCCACCTGCCGGCAGTGGAGTGCAGTTATTGTTCTCCCTTCTAAGCTGCTCTTTTTTAGGTGAGTGGGCAACTGTGCCGGAGTGGTTTATGCTTAAAAGTATAAGCATAGGCTTCCATATAAATCTAGAAATATAATTACAGATTTTTTTTTTTACTCATAAATTTAACTTTTGGGCTTGCTGAAAGAGTGTGAATAGGCTAAGACCTACTGAAAGCCATAAAAGCTGGTTTCTCTAACCTGTCACCCATATCCTCTCTGATATTAAAATAAAAAAATTAAAAAGAAACAAAAAAAAAAAACAGAAAAAAAGCGCCTTGGCTGTAGCACATTTGATTTTTTGTGTCACCAGCACGTGCAGATATAAAAAAAGAAATAGATTTTTAGATGGGTGTTTGCTTAGAAGAGTCACTTTAATTTAATTCCCTCCTTCTTTACCACCTCAGATGTGTTCACAAGGCTTTAGGTGAGTCACAGTAGAACAAAAATCATCTTTATTACAGTTAAGATGTACAACAAAAGGTACTAACCTAAATGATTTCTGCCCTGTTTATTATGCATGTAGCTGAATAAATGAAGATTATAACTAATATAATTATTCTTTTCTGGAAATCAGTGTAGCCATTTAATTAACTTGGAATTTGAAGTTTTCTCCAGTCTTCTTAATCTGCAGTAAATGCTTAGTTTGCAGCTTTTTGAGGCTGCAAAAGGATGAAATTATTTAACTGGGCATTTTCAGGCCACATGTGTTATAAAATTAACCAGTATATTATTTTTATAACTATATCTATCTATCTATTATTCTACTCCAGCATCCTCAAAGAAAGAAGTCAGGAGAGAAAGCATCTGAATTTCTTACCTCTGGCTATGTTTTTTTTTTTTTTTCCAGGGAAGAAAGAGCTGGAACTTGCCTTACAGAAGTGGGATCAAAGTGCTGAGTGCCACCAGTGGTATGTGATTTTTTTTTTTCCTTCTTGCCTATAAAAAGTATAGGAAAACAACTTGGAGGTTGTTGTGAGCTGAGCTGCAGTTAAAAATTCGTAATGGAAAAACCCCCAACCCAACAAAATCCTGAACTCTTACTTGCTCTTACTTGCAGTGTCCTACACTGAGGGTGTTTTTTTCCATCTAAAAAGCCATTTATTTTTAACAGCTTTGGTTCCTGGGTGTGAGGAATGGCTTTGGCAGACAGAGGGCTTTTTCTTGTGGACTTTTTTGGATACAGGAACAGCTTCTCTCAAGGGGTTTGTGAGTCTGCACCTGACACGTGGATGAACTTTGGTGGCTGAGCTTCCAGCTGAGACTTTGGGGGACCAACTGCTGATAAAACGGGTTTGGGATGAAGCTCAAGCACGATGAGCTCCACGTGGTGTTCACCAGGCTGGGCTGAGATTTCTGGAGCCTGGGAGCGTGGGTTTGGTGCTGTGCCAAATGTCCTCTGTTCATCTTCACTCTGGAGGAAGGAGAACCATCCTTTTTAGCAGACAGGCTTTTAGGGCCTCCTGGAAGTGGGTCCTGGCACTGCTGCCTCATCTCAGAGGTGCTGCAGAGCCTCTGGCTTGGAAATGAAGGGAGTCAGCAACATGTGGCTCTGCTTTGAATTTAAACAAAGGGATTTCATGTCTTTTTTTTTTTTCATGGTAGAAGAGAAGATGAACCCCAAGCAGGGAATTGTGACCGACATTTGTACCCAGATTTCAGTAAGGAGGGAGATGAGGGGGAAGGGCCTCACTCCCTTAAGGCTTTGCTTGCAGCTCATGGATGGAATTGAAAGGATTGCTCTCTTTTTTTAAATGACTCCAAAAGAGAGTTTGTGGAGTGGTTCAGATATTTGTGGAGGTAAGGGAATTTATTTTTTGGCTTTTCTGGTGAATTCCTCCATGAACAATGTTTGTCAGCAGTTACTGTGAAGGACTGACAATGCTTAAATTGGGATAAAAGGGAAATCACTTTTTTGAATGGAAATTATTGGGGAAACAAGATGCTGAGTATCTTTACCAAACAAGATCTGTGCTCTTCTAATGAACAAGTTTATTTGGAGGGTTGTTTTGGACTATTGGCATCTGAATAAATGCCTTTATTACCTTAAAAAGAATGTATTTCAGTTGTTAGTAATGAATTGCTGTTTTCAATTAAAGCTGTGATAGGAAAGATTTTGGGGCAGGAAAATCTCCAGCAGATTATGGTATTGGGCTCTGCTGGCTTAACAGCTTGAAAAAAATGGGGTTTGGTTGCCAGGATAGATTTTAAAGTTGGTGTTTTACAAAGCAAGGTTCTACTCCGGGGTCCCAGCTGGATAGTTTTGCATTGTGATTCAGATTTTGGGACAGTTCTGGGCCTCCCAGACCCTTTTCCCAGACAGGAATAAGGCTCCTGCACAGCTACATCTTGCTTTTAGCTCTTCAGAGCAGCTGGAGAAAGGAAACAGCAGAGCAGCCTGTGGGAGGCGTGGGATTTCTTGGGAATGAATATGTAATTCCCTTTATCAGCACAGAAATTATTATTTACTGCTACCAGTGGAACAGGAAATTACTCTCTTCCCAGCTCTGAGGTGGTCACAAGCTGGTTTAATTGCAGCCTTTTTTTGTGCTAATTGGATTTATCCTGAGGAGAAAAAAAAACAGTAGAGGCTTTAAAGCTTTTTGGGGGTGGATTTGGCGCCCCAGCTCTTGGTTTATGGAGAATATTGTTCACACTTGCTTTAAATTACAGTTTTATTCTGTCATATTCCTCTCTCTAGTGCCTAATTCCTTTTGTGAAAACCCTAATCCCTTCTTATCTCTTGTCACAGGGAATAATTGATTATCTCTCGCTGCCCACGTTGTCTTTCCTATATTATTCTCCCTCTTCCATATATTTTCCCAGGCAAAAGTGGGGGGAGTCCAGTGCAGGACACAATCTGTGGGAGCAAGATGGGTTTGTGTGATGCTGATGGGATATGATCCTTTACACTCTTATTTCCATATACATCATCCCAAACATCATCCTTCTCTTTCCCACTGCATCCTAAATGGCCATTTTAATAGAAATATTCCCAGTCCTTTTCCTGGGTGTTGCAGTAATTACTGGCATTTTAAAGCCACAAGCAAAGGAATAACTTTGGGAAAGGGGAAGGATTCCTGCTGGGGAATCAGTGAGGAGGGAACATCACTGGCTGCAGCTCATTTTGGGGGCTCATGTAGGAACAGAAGGTGTGGGAGCCGTGCTGGGTGTTAAATGCACTTGGTACCTTTGGAGGAGATTTATTTGTGGCTCCAAGGCTGAGGGATATTGGAGCGAGTGATCTGAAGCCTCTGCACCCCTGATTTAACAAGGACCCGATTCTTACTTGGGATTTAGGCATCAAAATCATTCCCTGTTTGATTGTAAAAGATCTCTGAGCAGGTCGAATTTCTGTCCAGCTAAGCTGATTTCTCCCTTAGCTGAGTCCAGCCCACGAGCAGGACAGAGCAAGTTCCTAAGCCTGTTCTTGCATCTCAGGAGGGAGAGGTGGAAGAGATACAAAATACAAAGAAATAAGGTAGAAATATGACAGCACAAACCTCTCTGGGCTTTGCTGCTTAGACACAAATATGGGACATCCCACAAATGAAGTGAGAAACAGCTGTGGCCCTTTAGAATTTCCAGCCCAGTACCATCTTTAGGAATCAGAGTGAGGTCTAGGTTTGCCTTGCCTTCCACTCCAGGTCATGAAAGAAATATTGAAGGTGCAACCTGAGGGATTTCAGAGAAATCTGGGGAAAATTGGGCAGGTGTTGCTTTTAGTTTGAGTGGAATATTTTTTTCAGCGAAGTGCTGACTCTTGCAGAAGGAATAATAAGCTTTGGCCCTCTTGGAGATACTCTGTGTGTGATGGAGAAGTGGGATTGGGTTGGATGAGTCTCCAAAATGTGCCCTTTTCTTCCAGAGAGTCTGAGAGTTTGGTGGAACATCTTGCATGCTTGATCACCACCCCTTCTCAGTTCCGTGGGTGCAGCTGTCTGTCTGTGGGCAGATCCTGGATTTTGGAAAAGTCACGGCACTCCGGCTGTGCCTGGGAGACAGCTCTCATTGAACAACTGGCAGTGCTCCAGGATGTAACTCTTGCTGGCCACGTCTGGCCAATTTGGAGCTGGATTCTGGATTTATGAGCCGACTGTTTTCTGCTCCATAGGCAGATGAAACAGGGAATTTACTGACAATATGAAGCGGCAGCAACCGTAGGAATAGTTAGGGGATATTTCAGAATGCAGAGGAGGAAAACCAGCGTGGAATTAGAGCTGGCTGGTGGCAATCCCCCTGACCTGTGTGCCCTGGAAGGTTAATTGGGGAAGGAACTTGAACATCCAGAACACAGGTGCTCTCCCACTTGGAGGTCTGAGGGCTATAAAGGAAGGAACAGCACATCTGCCTGCCTCACTTTTGCCTGGAGATTTAAGCTGGAAGAACAGGCTCTCTCAGCTGGGAGTATCTGTTTCCACAGGGTTTATTTTTCTAATAAATGGGGAAAATCCTGAGCTGAGGTCCCTGTGGGAACTGCAGCTTTCCCACTGTCAGCAGCCTAATGAAGAGTCTGGTTAATAATTAATCAAGTGATATCCTAATGAAAGCTGCTGAGACATGGATCTGAGCAGTGCTGCAGGAGGTCACAGGGAATGGAAATCCCCTAAGTCCTAATTTTTCAGGTCTCCTGGTCCTGCTGCTCAGCCCTCCTGCACTTCCATAGTGTCTCTGGTGACTCTCATCCTGAGGCATTCCACAGAATGAGCTGGAATAAACAGCTCCACTCTGCCAAGCTAAACAAGCAGAGGAGAGGACAGCAGAAATCAGGAAAAAAACCCTGGAATTTGTATTTCTTGACATGAGACAACTGTGGGATTTATTGTGTAGGAATGTTTGATCTCGTGATTGTAGAAAATAAGCCTTTTATTGGTTTGTATTTCTCAACCCCAGTTGTGCTGTGGCTGAGTATGTTTAGCCCAGGCTGATGTTTTGTTGGGAAACAAACTGGAGACGATCCTAAAAACACTTGATTCCATCAGAGTGGGGCAATGCAGCTGGGAGCTTTTCCAACGAGGGGAAAGGATTTTTATCCAATAAGACATTGATCTGGTAATCTTTGCCATTACCATGAAAAATAAGACTTGGAACTGAACCAGAGCTTTCCCACAGGAAAATTAACAAAGTAAAGGAAGGGGATTTAAGCAAAATTGTAAATATTCAGGAGGTGCGACTTCATGTTGGAACTTAAACATTGGAAATGGAGCTCAGGCAGAAGCAGTGAGGGAATTCCTGGGATTTCATAATACTGAAGGAAGTGTAGTTGGAGATTGAAAAGCCTTCTGACAGATTCCTGTACATCTGCTGTGTTTAACTGTCCCAAGGGATGCCTTGGGATAGCTATGGCAGAGCATCCAGTGGCACGGGGATGTGGATGGAGTAAAAGGGAACCTTACTTGCATCTTTCTTCTTTTCAGCTTTATTTTTGGAAAAAAATTAGACATGTTATTCATTTGTCCATCTGTTCCACCTGATGTTTTTTGAGCCAAACCCAGGGAAGGGGTGGAAGTGTCCTCCATTCCCAGAGCTCTCTCCTGAGTGAGATGAGAGACACCAAACTTCAGTCTGTGTGTGCCAACCCATAGCAGTGCCCTTGAGAGCTCTGAGAGGGATTGTTTCTTGTGAAGTGACTCAGGGAGGGAGGGCTTGAACCCCTGCTGTGGGGAGGTGAGATGGGAGGGTACAAATGCCCAGGGAATGAACCTCCCTTGAATTTCACGGCTCAGGCAATAGCTAAGTTTGCTGAGGCCCTGCTTCTCAGGCTCACAACTCACAGTGTCTTACTGGGCAAAACTAGATGGCTTTGCACTTTCAGCACTGAAAAAAGCACTGAAAAAAGCTCTTCTGTTTCCCCAGCTGCAGGATATAGGTAGGTTTTGCCAATATTTCCCTGGAAGTAGAGCCCTGCGTGCTGCATGTGGAGGTCGCTGCTCCCAGTAGTGAATTAGAGCTGCTCGTAGTCTGGGCTCTTGCTGCAATAGTTTCCTCTTCACTGCTCTGTCCTGTCACACCTTCCTTGCTTAGGGAAGGAATTCCAGCCGTGGAAGTGTGCTGCTCCTGGTTTTTAGCCGTCAGTGCAGCGAGTTTGTGTGTCACGTCACAGCCCTCCTGCTGATTTGCCTCATCCTTCAGGCTAAAACCCTCTTAGGAACTGCATTTTTACTGCAGTTTTTACAGGTTCCCAGTATTCCTTGTGTTTCCCAGAGAGGTGTGGAGCTTTAGTGCACTTCATAGAATCCTGGGATGGTTTGGGTTGGAAGCTCATCCAGTCCCACCTCCTTCCATGGGCAGGGACACCTTCCACTATCCCACTTGCTCCAAGCCCTGTCCAACCTGGCTTTGAACACTTGGATATCTTCTTTCTGAAGACATGGACAGCAGGTAACTGTGGATTAAATGTGGATTTAATCCTGGCTGGCTCATGCAGGTGTCTCCCTGTGCAGGTTTGCCATCCTTTGTGGGCAGCTGTCGGAACATGAGAGCATTCCCAAGCGCATCCAGGCCGGCTGTGTTTTTAAGGTGAGTGGAAAGGACATTCTGGGTCTGTGTAAGGATCAAACAACACTTAGTTCTGTAGTAGGAACTTGGGAAAATTGGCTCCAGGTCTTGTTTAGGGAAGTAGCATGTCTCAGAGATGCCATGAGTGGGTGTTTTGGGCTGAGGAAGGTGATTCCAGCAATGTCTTTTGAGAGAGTGGGCTGGCTCTGCAGTTTTACACACCATCATCTCAGGGGAAAAAAAAAAAAGAAGTCTTGCAAATAAAATTTATGTAAATTATGAGACTGAGAGAAAGGAACATGAAATTATCATGTGGTGACAAGATAGAGCACCAGCTTGTCTCTCTGCCTGTGAGCAACCTGCACCCTCCCAGAAAGGCAAAGCAAATACTCCCAAGAGGATTTAATTTGCCTCACATTCTTTTATTTCCCTTGGGGATGTTGCAGGGGAAGAGGATGTACCTGGAACAGGCCTCAGGTAATTACTGTCCCATCAGCTCATGGCATGACCAGTAAGGTGGTTATGGCAAAGCTCTGGAGGTGGAATAAACTGAAGGGCAGCTTCCTTCTCGTGCGTGGGCAGTAACTCCTGTCCCTGAGCCTGGTGAAGTGCTGCTTTTCTGTGCTCACTGAAGCCATTCCTGAGAAAATCGGGGATCTGTAGCTGTAATTGTACTGATCACAACACTTAAATTGTGGATTCCTTCCTTCCCTCTTTCTCCACCTGCTCTCGTGGACATTTACTTGCTTTTAACGAAGGTGTGACGTGTGTTGGTGCTGGTTTCCCACAGGAACACATCGACAGAGCCATTGAGCTGAAGCCAGAGGACCCCCAGCTGTACTATCTCATGGGCAGGTGGTGTTACCAGGTATTGCTGCTTATTGCTGTCTAATTCCTCCTTGGAACTGAATTCCATGTTTGACTGAGAGAGAGGTGGATGCAAACCAGGTGTAAGGACTGGGATACTCATCCAGAATCTGCCGAGGCCTTCGGCTTCCTCCCAGGAGCACGAGCAGCTCTCAGAGGCAGGGCAGGTCCTGGCTGGCTCTCCAGTGGGTGGGACAGGTTTGCCCTTCCTGTCTCTGCAGGTTGCCCACCTGGGATGGCTGGAGAAGAAGACGGTGTCAGCACTGTTCGAGGCTCCTCCGACAGCCACGGTGCAGGACGCGCTCCAGAACTTCCTGCGGGTAAGGGGATCTGCCAGGAGAGGGGATGGATCAGTGACATCCGCAGGTCACAGCAGTGGAAAGGGGGTGCTTGTGTCCTGCTTAAGCTCAGCCCCCTCAGGTGCTCCATGATGCTTCTCCATCTCCTGGGACCTGTGGAAGGAAAGCTGGGGAAAGGGAATATTGTGGGGCCTCCTTTCCAGAACAGCCAGAGAAAAGACTGGGATGTGGAGGACATCAGAATGATGAGCCAAAGTGTTCAGAACTGGCTTTCAGGGGGTTTGATTTTTCTCGTAAAAGCTGTGCAGTGATTCATTGCTCAGTCCTAATCACGTCTGGGCTGTGCTTCCAGAGTCCCAGAGCTGTCTGAGCTCATCCCTGGGATCGCTTGTAGAGATCCATCCCGTCACTTTAATTTCTCGAGGATTATTTTATTAAAAGCCTGGCTGACTTCTCCGTTTCAAACGTTTCAGAACAGCTACTTGAAGGTTTCAGGGGCACAGTGCTTTATGTATTTATTTGGAGTCCTCCCTTCCTCTCTTTCTTCTTTCCTCTGTTTTTTTTCTTTCAGAGCAGCAATAAGCCTGAGGTAAGAATTAAATGTGTCCTTGCATATCTGCTTGTCCCTGTCACAAATCCCCCTCTCTTCCTACAGGTCGAGGAGCTGAGCCCAGGATTTTCCAAAGCAGGAAGAGTTTACATTGCCAAGGTAACCACTCACTTCTTGCTTTTTTAGATCCTAGGGTAAGAAATAGTTCCATTAAAAAATCATCTTGGGCTGTAAAGTGCTGAGCAGGTGGAAAATACTCCACTCAGGAGCCAGATTTTGTAAGATGACAGTATTTCTTTTTAGTTGCAGCAGTAAATCCGTGGAAGTCTTAACCTGACCAGACTTTCAGCGTTGATATTAAAATTTGGGGTTCCTTGTGTGTGATCTAACTGGGCTGATGGGTTCTTATTGGGCTCATGGTGCCTGGCAGGTGTGACTGAGCTCCAGAAACAATCTGCAAGTGTACAAATTACCTTGGAGGTGAATAGGACCACTTGGTTTAGGGTATTTTTCTTCCCTGATCCCAGGCTCTGTCACTTTGGGTCACATCCTTCATCACGACCTTTAAAAGGGGGCATTTAGGGTCTAATTATTTGGAAGGAGGGAGTCCCTGGTGGTCAAGTGGTTAAGGTGCGGCGCTGTCACCGCCGAGGCCCAGGTTTGATTCCCGGTCAGGACACTCCCTGGGCAGATGGAGCTCGTTAGCCCTGTAAGGCAATCCATCTACGTCCTGAGGACCTCGCTGCCACCGTCCAAGCTCGCTTGGCCCCGGCAGATGAATCTCAGGATTAAAGGGTGGGCTCAGTTCCACGCACACTGTGTCTCACCTAAAAAATCCAATGCGCAGGCTGGAAGGTGTGAAGACCTTCCCCAGATCTTCGTTCGCGAAGACTGGCCATTATTTGCTGCTCTGATGGGTTAAGCTTCAAAATAAAAATTCGTTGTGGTCTATAGACATTTTTACTGATATTCAGCGATTTCAAAGCCTTTGAGGATGTCCAGGACTCCCATCTAGTCTGACACTCTGAGACTCCCATAAATATTATTTATTATTACAACTCTTGCAGCTGAGCCTCATTTTTAGCAGCCTGGAGAACGATGTGCATTCCAGTAGAGAGGTTTTGTGGTGAAACCAGAGTGAGGAAGTAGTCAGTGGAAATCCAAATAGAGCTTTGGAAGTGATGAAAACCACGGGAACACCTTAGAATCTCCAACCAAAGCCCCCTCTCCTTGCCCACAAAAGAAACAAACAAAACCATAAAGGAAGTTAAGTATGTTTAATATTCCATCTGGTGTGATTCTAAGGCTCTGTGAACGAAGGATGCTGCAGGGAATATTGGTGCTAGTGGTTAGGAGGCAAAAACAGGTCTTCTTAGCAGTGGTCCAGTTATGTTTGCTGCCTGTTTTTCCCTGTTTAACCCTTTTCCTGTTGTCCTTTTCCCTTCCCAGTGCTACAGGGACCTGGGGAACAGCTCTGCGGCCGCGCTCTGGGTGAGCCTCGCCTCCGAGCTGCCAGGGAACACAAAAGAGGTAACAGGATCAGCAGGGGCTCTGGGATGAACAGGGAGAACTCAGTTACAGAGAGAAAATGGGTCCTGCCCCTCTGCTCCACTGAGATCCCACCTAGATCACTTCATCCAGCTCTGGGATCCTGCACAGGAAGGACGTGGACCTGCTGGAGCGAGTCCAGAGGAGAGACCAGGACGGTCAGGGGGATGGAGCAGCTCTGCTGGGAGGAAAGGTTGGGAGAGTTGGGATTGTTCAGCCTGGAGAAGTTTCAGGGTGATCTGATGGTGGCCTTCCAGTGCCTGACGGGAGCCCACAGGACAGATGGACTTTGGACAAGGGCCTGGAGTGCAAGACGTGGCATAGTGGCTTCAAACTGGCAGAGGGCAGGGTTAGATGGGATATTGGGAAGAAATCCTTCCCTGTGAGGGTGGGCAGGCCCTGGCACAGGTTGCCCGGAGGAGCTGTGGCTGCCCCATCCCTAGAAGTGTCCAAGGCCAGGTTGGACAGGGCTTGGAGCAACCTGGGCCAGTGGAAGGTGTCCCTACCCATGGCAGGGGTTGGCACAGGATGGGCTTTAAGGTCCCTTCCCACCCAAGCCATTCCAGGATTCTGTGATTCTCTGATATGCTTAAAACCTGGTCTGGGGTTGGAGAAAGAAGGGAAATTGTCGGTTTTAGTTGTTTCAATTGAGCTGTGCATTTATCTGTTCCCTTCTTGCATTTCCAGGATGCAGAAAGCGAGAGGGAACTCGAGGAGATGCGCTTGGACTGCAAGGAATAATTCTGGAGAAACTCATCCCAGTGGATACTGCAGAGACAGTAAAATGCCAAAGGGGTTTCATGATCCTGACAACTCCCAGTGCACTTCATGGATAAGCCAAAAGAGCTGACAGGAAAACACACCCAGCAGCACATCCAGGAAAATATCTTGGATTTAATGGGATAAAATCGTGGTTTGTTTTCCCTCATACAGCACTGCATGTGTTTGATTTGAGGACCCCTAAAAATGCCACATTCCTGAAAACAGGTATGTGTGGGAGAGTTTACAGGTAGAGTTTATGATAGAGAAATATTTGTGGTCATATATATATTTATGGTAGGTATATGTGAGATATATACTTTGTGATATAAATGTATATATTTATATAGGCACATACATATTTCTTATCACACACTCTGCCTGTCTGACAGCCTTGCTGCTGAGCTCCCAACTCATTCCTGAGGAAAACTTCAGCCAAAATTTTTTCCAGATTGTTTCCTCTTTTCCTTAATGATTCATTGAATCAGTTGAAATAACTGATAATGCCTTTTGTAGGTATTTAGGGGAGAACAATTTCCTAGCAGGACCAAGGAGCTTTCCTGCACAATCCAGGCTGGAT